CAAGCTGGATACAGAAATGGAAGCACCATATGCTAAACTGGTGGTTAGAAGAAAAAAAAGTAAATTTCTCAGTGTCCAGCCCTGCTCTCTCACACACCTTATTCCAGTGGGCAATAGAACTGAGAGAATTCCTCAAGAAATTTCATTTTACACCCCTGCACTCGGATCTTGGATTCCTGACACGGTCACTGACCGGAGACTGAGGCAAATCTCACAATTAGTGACAATTAGTGCCAGCTTCCAAACATTATTCGGCTGCTGTGCACTCTGGGTGCCACGGGAATAATGGCTCTGGGGGGAATTCAGGCTGTCCAGGCTTTCCCATGTTAGGGACTTTACAGCCAAGAAGCTGTGACTAAATTCTGCTTTCACTGAGCAGAACATAAATTAAACAATATAGGATGTGGATCCCAGACCTGCCAGGTGCTGCATCCTTTAAATTCATGTTTTCTCTGCAATTTTTTCCTTTCAAAATTTGGCAGTATGCCTGGAAATGACAAGAAGCACCTCTCAGGGAGACCACTGGAAGGGAGAGAAAGATAAGATTTAGCTCCATTGTTCACATATTGGCATTAATTAAAAGTTTTATAGTTAAATTTTTATGCTAAACCTTTCTCACAGCTTATAAAAGCTGGTACCAGGTTTGCATACAAAAATCACCAGCTTTTGTAGATAAATTCAATCTTTATAAATCCTTTGGACAAATCTTTACCACAGACAGTGAGTACACTTGTAGAATAGCTGTTACAACCCTTTTAAGACCCCAGTAAGAAGTGCTCACTGATTAAATTTTGCAAATCATTTTCTGAAGTTAACACTCCTGGTGGGATCAATAGGAATAACAGAATTAAGAAATGGAAAATTTTGCATTATAAAGATCATGAGCATTTTTAATGGCAAGATTACTGCTTTATGTAGAATTTCTATAAAGCCAGGCTCACCTGTAAATCAAACACCTGCCACAAAAAATCCCAGGTGGATGTTTTTTACATCCTTAATGACAACAGTCCAATTTTATGCCTGTGTAACTTCCCACAGCAAAAGAACCTGCTCTGAAATAAACAAAAATCCCAGTTTGACAACTTTTTGAAGCATTAGACAGAGATTAAGCTACTTTCCTTAGCAATTACATTTACTACGTTGTTCCAGAGATGTAAAGACTCAAGACATCTTTGTTATTTTTTCATATACCAATCTCTTCAGAGTTTTAGAAAGTGCACAGAAAAACTTTCAGTTTGCTACAAGAGCTGCCTGCTTTGAAAGCTGCTGTAAATACTGTGACCAGCCCAAAACACAGCACAACCCTTTTCTTCCAAAAATTTAAAGAAAGGGAATCTAAGTTGCCATCCAGGCAAGAACATTTGGAAAAAAATGAAAAGGCTTTCAATTTCCAAAACTGTCAGATCACAGGAATTACTGAATTTAAACTCCATCAGGATGACCAACTTCAAGTGTTTCAAACATTTATGTTTCATCATATTTTACAAGAGCAAACCTGCTGGTTTAACTTTAGCCTGCTTTAAGAAAGGCATGGGTAACGCTCTTAGGACTGAATCAGTAGCAGAAATAGTTTTGTGGATGAGACTATTTAACGATTAAGAGTTCCTCCAAGTTTATTCCATGCAGATTCCCATGCAGAAGCCTGAATTCCTCTGGCTTTCCTGGCAGCTGAGTCAGGCTGGGCTTCCTTGTCTCCAAACCTACAATTCCCACTACCCATTGCAACACACCCTCTTCACACGAAGCAACCCTCAGCTACAAGTTTTACGAAAACAAAGATTCTTCAAAAGTTCTTGAATCTTTACTCACAACTCCTCCCCCTACCCCTCAGTTCACCCCCATAGTTCCTGTTTTTATAGTATATCGTGAACTATGTTCTATAAATCTACCAGAGCACCCCTCCAATCAAAACACTAGCAGAGAAAAGAAGCAATAAATCAAAGAGGGAAAGCAACTTAGAAAAATATTTGTGCTGGAAGACATTTTAAGGACATGGGTGATTGATGCAGGGAATGAGAAAGGCACAAGGCAGTGATTAGAATTAAGTTTGGATTGAAACCTATGCACCCAAAAAGCCTGAATTAAACATGCTGAGAGTTCTTGGGGATAGTGTGACTAAGGTTTTTGCATAGACAACTAAATGAAGCAATTAGACTTCAGAAAGTAACCAATTATTTTAGGAATGAAACAAAGGCTGGAGGAAATACACCTGCCTGTGTGTGGGGAACGGAGAAAAAGTAAAGCAAAGCATTGCATTTGAAATATTCACAACAACCAATTTGTATAAGATGATTTTTAATTAATAGTCTAGAAAAGTTCTTTTAACTTAGTAATGAAAAGAATGCAATTAAAAAAAACCACACTTTAATGTGTGAATATAATTGATATCTTCAAAAATTATAGGAAATAGCAAGCACTGTAAGGGACTGAGAAGTGACAGGGAAAAACAATCCTTCACAATGAGAATTCTCCTGAGATGGCACTTTAAACTCTCCACACATTTTGATGTTATTTTCTCAAGGCTGTAAGGAAACAAGACTCTCAACAAACCAAAAGGGAAAAGTTTTAGTAATTCCTCACAAGTACCTGCAACAGGTACTGTTGCAGAGCATCCTAAAGGATTTGATAAAGTGGGTAATTAAGTTATTTGTCGTAGTCATTCACATCTCTAAGTGCAGGCTGACACTTGAGTGCCAGGATAAACTCCACAGAACACCAAAGCCTCTATTAATTTAACATTTGAACACATCCCCTAAAATCCGAGCCCAACAGAATAAACCAGAAGCTATGCTTTTAATGAATTATAAAACAAATGCGCCACCCCTAACAGCATTTCCCATGCACACATTGCATTGCCATTCAGTTTTAGGCTCCCAAGGACTGGCAGAGAATCTTTTTCTTCTTACACTACTCTTAGTGATAGCATTTAAATGCTATTGCTCTGAGGAAAACTGCAGCCTGTTCAGCACTTCTGAGAAATTCAGTGACAAAGCATTTTGCTTTTTCTTCTTTAATGTCTCGAGATGACATGGGTAACATAATGCCTGTTAAGCACTGCTCCTTGCTTTATAAGTGTCCTTAACATTTATCTCCTTCCAATTAGAAATCTCATCACAGACAGCAATTCCATAAAATATCAAAACAGTTCCATTTGGGTTTTTTTAAGGACGTATTTTTAATGAAATGTACACAAAATTATACAATATAAAGCTTCGATTCATGCTATAAAAACTATGTATGAATTCAAGGTGCTTAATTTGAAAATAAGACTGGTAACTGGATCAGAAAACATTTCCTTACAAATTGCACCTGTTTTCCTTACCCCTCCTCCCAATAAAAAAAGGTTTTGTTCCCTTTTTTCATTTGACTCTGTTCTCACATAAACATTTTAATCTCTAATAAAACCAGTTTTAATTGGCCCTGAGGTACTGCACAGATTAATGCAGCCTAGGTCATTGCTTTCATATGCAGTAAAACATTAATGAAGTACAAATCCTTACCAAAACAAGAAGTTTTTATCTTCTGAGGCAGAATATTTCTTGTAGCTGATGAGTGCTTGGCTACAACTAACAAATTAATCTGATCGATTCCTAAAATATCTTGGTTCTATGCAGTAGTCAGTATACTTTTCATATTCTAGATCAATCTTCTATGAATCAGAAGACTTATTAAATACAGGTAAGAAAAACATGTTTCCAGAGAGATTGAACTTGGAACTGTTGCAGAGCTGTTTCACCAGACACACAACTCATCTTGTTCACTTTATTTCTCTGCTCTGCTCACAATGAGTGCTCAGAGAAGGAAAAAAGTCTGAAGCAATCATTTTCTGTAGTACTGCAGAGTGAATGCTGTGTCTATTAAGCCAAAAAACCCCAAAACATCTGAGCTGGTCATTCAGATGAAGCACAGCATTGTATCTCCTCCTGGGAGTCAGGAACTGGCAACTGATACAAGTATTAGAATCAGTACTTGGAGAACTCTGCGGCCCAAAATGCAGACAGGTGGAAACTCCTAGATTACCCTATGCTTGGATACAATCACTGGTACTTAATATACCACAGCTAGGAAGATAGTGAGAATCATCACAGAATCATGGAATGGTTTGTGTTGCAAGGGAACTTCAAGGTCATCCCATTCCACCCCCTGCCACGGGCAGGGGCACCTTCCACTAGACCAGGTTGCTCCAAGTTCCATCCCACCCGGCCTTCAACACTTGCAGGAATGGGGGGAAAAATCATTTAAGGAAAAAACACAATGAAAATGTTTGATGAAAACACAATTAAAATGTCAACACAATGAAATGTTTTTCTGTCATGTGAACTTACAGTAGTTTCCCTTAACTACAGTTAAGTATTCAAGAGTCACTGCTTAAGCAAGAGGCACCAACTGTAACAAAAACTTGAAAATTATCATTGTCACAACATTTCTGCAGAGCAGTGACCTGTCACATGCTGACACCTGGTCTCACAGTCATTGCACCACGTGAAAAGAACTAGAAAGGAGCTAAAAGTCACACAGGTACAGTAGCACAAAAGAAGCCTGTTCAAGAACCTATTCAGGCAGTTTGGAGGATGTTTGCAGTAGCAAACAATCCTACAATCATTCAAGCAATAACAATTTCAGACGAGTCTCCCTCCTGGCACAGGAGAAGGTCCCCAGAGGCCTCTTCAGCTCTGCATGTCTTGAAGCTTGCACAAATTTTCCAGCCTTAGGTCAGGTGTGAAGGCTATTTAGAGAAGTCTGCCCCAGATTAAACCTGAGAACTGTTTTTGGTCTTGTTCATAAATCCTCTTCCCCCCGTGAGTTGCTTACAACGACTTTTAGAAAATGTCAAGCAATAGAAATGAACTAAAAAAATGGCAGAGGACTTGGAAGAGCTATGGGATCTGGCCAAAGACAATTGACCTTCACAGGATATTGCCAGAAGAAAGTCTGTGATATAGAATTATTCACACCCCTCCAAAAGAAACCAGTTTGTTTTCTAGGTATTTGACACAGTACACCAAGAGCTGAGCTGCACCTTCCAGCAACCATGAGCAGCCTCTGTGACAGAGGTTAGGAAAGAATTCCTAGCAAAGGATGTTAAAGCAGGCACGGCTTTCAAAATAGGCTACTGTAAACATCTGAGAGACACAGAACTTTGGTAGTTTCAGGAGAACACTTCCTTCAGTATGATGTATGATCACTTAGTACTGATTTCAACCAGTTCATTTTCAAACCTATTTTTACCAAGAAAAAGCCACCACAACATTTAATATCCCTCTTGCACTGCAGTCTTGGGGTCTGAGGTTACAGTCTTCTTAGTGTCCTTTGATAGAGAGCAAATGCATTTGGCAAATTATATTATGCTTCTCAGAAGGAGAGCCCAGTACACAGCTAAGACTCTCCTTCTCCCTTTCACATTATGTTTATAATAAGACAAAAAAAAAAATCCCCATGAAATTTTAAATCGCATTGCGTCAGAAGTGTCCCATGGATGTACTTGCAGACAAGATGCATCAAAAAGCACCTGCAGTAAAGCAAATATTTTCAGGTGGGTGGCAGAACAAAAGTATGAGAATTTCTACAAAATGGTGCTCAGGTCTTCTAAAAGCTAAAAGATCTTAAAGCTAAAACATCATGCTACAAAGTGTCACCTGAAAAGAATCTGTTTTCATGTTAATTTTCCTGTGACCAGAAATGAATTTACTAAGGCACCTAAACTAATGGCATAAAAAGCAACCAGTGATAAGTATTTTGGTCCAGAAGAGAAGGTGGCACTTCTTCTTTTTTCATCTATATCTGAGGGGCATGGAAGTGTTTTGATATTGATTTCAGCTGGCTCCAGTGTTCAGCTGTGAGATCTTCTCTTCAACTAAGTCTGCCACCAAATTCAGGTGACAGCCCCGAAGAGCTTTTATTAAGTCAGCCACCTTTGCATCTTTTCCCTTCCATCTCTGCCACTCCCGAAGTCCCTGGACAAGCTGCTCATACAGTTTAAATTGATAGTCTGCCTCTATTCTGTCCAGTTTCACTTCTGGCATGCCAAGTTCTCGCAGCAGCTTTTTCCAGTCCCTCCCAACGTGTTCACATATGACATCATTAGCTACCTTGAGAAGACCTGAAACAGCAGAAATACATCAAGTTAGCCATGGATTTACTAATAAATACAAGAAAATGTTTTAAAGTTGGCATTTGGGTTTGGGTTTGTTTTTTTTTAGCAAAATGCTACTGCTGTTGGTGCAGTGCACGTACTGAGAGTCACAGCACGTTCTGAAATACTTGGATGTACATAGCTATACATGAAATACTGGATATACTTTCCACCCCGGAAAGCCGTTTGCATTCACATTTACTGGGTTGATATACATATATAAAAATATAATCTAGATAAAATATTAGATATAGGTATAATATTTTATATATATATATATATATTATAATCCACCTACGTTTTTCCTGCTCATCTGGTTGATCACCAGGAGCACCAAGCCCTCCTTCCTCCTCGAACTGCTCCAGCTGTGACACCAAATCGCCCCTGCGGATGTTCTCGAGGAGCTTCTTAAGGAAGTCCAGGTTGTCGCTGGCAATGTGCTGCTGCTCCACCAGGATCTCGAAGAGCTCCCTGCCGCTCCGCACAGACTCGCGCCTCCTCTTCGTGATCTTGTCGTGGCAGAGGAACTTCATGGAGTCGAGCTCGGCCTCGGACAGCCCCGCGGAGATGGAGAGCAGGAGGCTCAGGAACGGGCTCACAGTGGGCCCCGCGCCAAGCGCGGGGTGGCTGGAGGCGTCCTGGCCCCACGCTCTGCGGGCGAACGCCATTCCTGCTTTGGCACAGCGACTTCCCGGGAATCCGGGGACGAACGGGAAACTAACGCAGCCCGATCCAGGCCGGAACTGACGTGACCGCGGCTTTGCCGCCCGCCCGAACGTGGGCGGTGCTGCCGCCGGGGAAGGGGGAGCTGTCCGCCCTCGGCGCCGCGCAGCCTGGCGTTGGGAGCCCGGCGCTTCAAACCCGTCCCCCGCCTCCCCCTACCAGCCGAACGGGCTTGTTTTGTGATGGAGGATGTGTGCTGGAGGCCGGTGTCCTGCTGCAGGGACGGGCCCCGGTGCCTCAGCAGCGCGGCACCCCAGCTCTGTCCGGGTCACAGAATCACAGGATCGATTAGGTTGGAAAAGACGTTCTTCACTGAAAGGATGGTCAGGCATTGGAACAGGGTGCCCAGGGGAAGCGGTGGAGTTACCATCCCTGGGAGGATTTAAAAGAGGTGCATATGCGGTGCTTAGAGACCTGATGGTGGACTTGGAATGTGTCGAGAGCAGCACCAAACATGGCGGCACGAGGCCCCCCCCTCCCCCCTCCGACTCAGAGAGGCGTCTATCCTGTTGCCTGACCTTCACCTCGTCCCCTGGCCCCACCCCGCGCTCGCAGCGCCGTCTCGCCGCGGTGCTTTCCGCTGTGGGGACGGGCCGGGCCGCTCGGGGGACAGGGCGGGGCGCTCGGCGGCGCCGGGCACGGGCGGCAGGCTCGTGGGCGGCGGCAGGCAGCGACGCGGGCAGCCCCGGTCGTGCCGCGAGGCCCCCTGGCATGGCGGCGCGGCCCGTGGCCTGTGCTCCGCTCCCCTCCCGTGCCGTCCCTTTCCCGTCCCGCTCGGTCCCGCGGGGCCCTGCAGATGGTGCCGGGAGATTGCAGGGAGTGTTGGCATGAGCGTGCCAGGGAAGGGGGGGCACACAATGCCAGGAGCTGATGGAACCATTGCCTTGGTGTGTCTAGTTTGTGCCTGTGGGAGCCGGGATTCGGGCTGTGCTTGGGAACAACGCTCCCCGCGCGGGGCTCGAGGCGCCGAAGCCTCCCCGCACGCTCCTCGCCCCACGGCTGAGCGCGCGCAGCCAATGGGAGGACGCGGAGTGGGCGGGGCGAGGCGGGGAGAGGGCGGGGCCAAGGGGGTGATACCGTGGGTGGGGTTTGGGTGGGAGCGGGCGGGGCCGGGAGCGCCGCGGAGCTTCCCCCGGCCGGCGGCCCCCGGGCAGTGGCCCCGGTGCGCGGTCCCGGGGACAGGGCCCTCCGGACTCCGAAGATGTGGTTTTGGTGCTCTCCTGCCTAGCAACCATTGTTCTAATTCTGCTCTCATTCTTCTTTAGTCTACACGGGGAAAGTGTCTACTGGGCTGGGGAATAAAAGGGAAGCCAATTAATCCTCCCTTTTTCGCCCATTTCTTTGGTGTGATTGGTCGGGGAGGCTGCTTCATGTTCTTGAATGGCAGGAATAAATTCTCTCGGTCAGTTTGCAGTGGGAGTAAAGAACAGCCTCTTAACTTTTGGCCCATATGCGTGGTAATTGCCCAGACAACAAAGGATGGCTCTGAGAATATTGCTCTACTCTGCAGTGAATGGAGGTATTTTCAGTCCTGCTGCTTTAGCCCAGGCTGCAGTTTTATGGCCTCTTGTCCATCAAGCCAACACCTGTGCACTTTTTCTGCTCCACTTTATGAGAAGAGGGGAAATACAGTTCATTAAGCAGATAGATAGAAGGCACTAAAAATGTCTGAAGTTTAAATCCAACCCTTATTCAATTCAATCTGCTGGAGTCAGGGAGGAGGGAGGAGGAGACCAGCACAGGATCAGAGCGCACCGAGGCTCATCCGGGGAGGGTCTGCTGGAGCCAAAGGCCACAGCTGAGGGCATTGCCCAGGGACTGCCAGATCCTGACATCTCTGCCCAGGTAAGGAAAGCTGACAACTTTGCACGGCTGTGCCGTGCCAAAGCACGCTCCTCTCCAAAACCCAGCACCTAGGGAAAACATCTGGGGAGCAACGGGAAGAAAAGCTGCTGATTGAATTCACAGGTGGGTTTTCAAATGCATTTTATCCAGGCTGGGATTTTCCCTACCTATCCACCAGCGATTGCCATCGTTTTTACCCCGAAATGTCCATTCCCTCCCCAGCATGTCCCTTTTGTCCCGTCCAGAATCCCCTTCCCCTCCTCCCTCCCACCCCTGGCGTGAGTGACGTCCCGGGAGCCCGCAGGGGCGGGCGGAGGCTCGGGTGGCCCGAGCCCGCAGCTGCCGGTGCCGCCGCCTTGTCGGGAATGCCAGCGGGACACAGATCCCTGCGGCGGGCCCCCGCTCCCGGGCCACTGATCCCTGTGCCGGGACACCGAGCCCCCCGAGACACCGAGCCCCCCGTAGCCGCGCTCC